GACTCAACGGCACTTAACAACAACAACAACAATGTTCACCGCAGCTTTATTCACAATAGCAAAAAAAAAAAAAGGAAACAACTGAAATGTCTGCCCATCAGCAGATGAAAGGATAAGCAAAATGTGGTATAAACATACAATGGACTATTATTACTCAATCATAAAGAAAAATAATCAGTCTGCAAAGCATACTATAACATGGATGGACCTGGAGGACACAATGCTAAGTAAAATAAGTCAAGCACATATAGACAAATTCTGTATGACCCCTCTTTTATAAGAAGACAAGAATAGACACATATAAAGAGACCAATGTTCATTGATGGCTATCAGGAGGAGGAGGACATTAAGGGAAAAGCACATTCTACACCAGTGTGATAGTTGGAGCTGTGTGTCAACTTGGCTGGATCCCAGTTGTGTGTGGTTGTTCCCATGATGGGATCGGATGACTGTGTTCTGAGTGGCCAATCTGTTCAAGGGGAGTTTCCCTAGGGGCGTGGCCTGCTTCCAGGATATCCAGGGACATCCTGGGAAGAGAGACATTCTTCTGTGGATCAGGACTCTGTTGTGCTGCCTACAACTGTCCGTGAGTGAGCAGTCCACCGTTCGGCCTGGAGATCTTGGGTTCGTCATTCGTTGGAGTCAACAGCCGGTGTACTGCCTGCCAGCCTTGAGCTTCTCGGCCCCTGCAGTTGCAGGAGCTAGGAAAAGCCTCCAGCTTGACATCTGATCCAGGGACTTTGGACTTGACGGCTTCTATACATTTGTGAGCCATTTTCCTAAGATAAATTTCTCTCTCTCTTTATATATATAAGCTTTGCTGGTTTTTGTTTCTCTACAGAACCCAGTCTAACACAACCAGATACTTGTTATTTTAGGTGACGAGAAAAGTGGCACCAAATGTGGGTACAGTGAGCATAACTTGACTAAAGTAAATGATATTGCTGAGACAAGCTCATGAGAAAACGATGCCTGCAAAAAATAATTTGGCAAATACAAGAGGGCAAAAACTCCAACAAATACCAAAAAATGAGTCTAGGATCACAAATGGATGGGTATAGGTATGTACGTATATGGGTAAGAACACGTGTATACATGTTAGAACAGATAGATCTATATGTACATGAAAATACAGTATGTATGTGCAGGTACATACATTCATTCACTGAAGGCACAACTACAGATACTCCTTAGACATAACCAAATACCTTCTAAGATTGGTTTGCTAGGTTTGAAAGTTTGCAACCATAGTCTCATGGGACAACTCAGTCAACTGGCTTAATACAGTTTACAAAGTTCATGTGCTGTATCCTAGTAAAGTAGTAAGTGGTGTCTGAAATCCTAAAAGCTTGTGAGCCACCAGCTAAGATACAACTATTGGTCTTCACCTTCTGTATGAGTCCAAAAGTCAACATTTAATCCAAAACAAACGATAAGAAGATAAGGGAAACAAGCAGAACACAATTAAGAAAATGTTGACATAATGGGAAAAAAATGGAACTAATACCACTGATCACTGCATGTGGAAATTGTCAAATGGGAACTTAGCCTGCTGTGCAAACTTTCACCAAAATCACAATAAAATATTATTTAGGAAAAAATAGCTGTAACAGAACTTACTTGACTGATGTATATACATAAACCACTTTCATTTAAAATGTTTTCCATGAAACAATGAACAGACCTATATTTGCCATACATATTGTATCAAATGCTTAGAATTCATTATTTCAATATAAAGTCTAATGCTGATAATTAACACAGAATGACCATACTCTGAAATGGCTTGTTGTTTTAAAAGTAACATTAGTAACAGACCTGGGTAGCACTTGATTCACTTCCATTAAGACTGTTGGGAGATTTCGTGGCCTGGATAGGTGCATTCTAAGAAAAAGAGAGAGACACTGTAAAGAAAAATAAAACTAAAAATTTAAAACTGTTAAGCACAAAGACAAAGTACCCAAACCTATTAGATACATTTATCTATTACACAAAATTAGTAACTGTTCATTTATAAGAATGTTTTCATGCAAGGCAAAACTAGTATGGTAGTATTTTAGAAAATTCATTTTGCTGTAATATATATACATAAACAGAGCAGAGATTAGTATGTAGCAATACTTATTCAAGCTAATCACATACCTCCTGCCATTATGAGTCCCCAGTTTTTTCCCCCATTACAAAATTAACATCAGGGATTCAATCAGCAAACTCTTTTAAAAACAAAACTATGCAGAAAAAGTAGTAATGTCAATTTTGTCCTATAACACTCAAAATTACTTGAGCTAAGCTCTGAAAAATACATTGGCAACAAGAAACTTAAATGTCTTTCATTTGAAGCCAGAGTCTGAATGAAATTATTATGCAAATTTTCAGAAAAATTTTTAATTAAAAATATCTTCTTCCCAAAGCGTAAGGTTTTTGTTTTGCTCTGTTGGTATGACAACTGCTCCATGCTGAGCAACATTCTATTGATTACACCATACTTCCTATTGGTTCTATGGTAATATATGAGATTCTTTGGGATTCAAAATTCTATAATGTACTCAGAGTATACTATCTAAAATCAGAGCTATAAAAGTAGCCCCAGGTAAAACAGCTTACATGTTTCAAACAAAAGCATTCACTAGTCACTATGTTTCAGAAACTCGGCAGTTAAAACAGTGCATTTTCCCCTACCTCTACAACAGAACAAAGAACAAATACCTTATACTAGTTATTCTTAAATATGGAGAAGGCATTCAGTTTGTTTGTTTGTTTTTTAAAAAAAAAAAAAAAACTTTGATTAGGCATTTGATACTAAGAACCTGCTAATTTTTAGGTGTGATAAACGTACTACAGAATAGTACATACACACAATGGAATACTATGCAACACTAAAGAATAACGAAGAATCTGTAAAACACTGCATAACACGGATGAACTTGCAGGACATTATGCTGAGTGAAACAAGTAAATCACAGAAGGACAAATATAGTATTAGTTCATTATTGTAAAAAGTCAAGGAAAGGTTTATATACAGAAGGAAACTTTCTTTGTTGGTTACCAGGAGGGGGAGAGGAGGGGAGGGGAGGGAACACTGCAAAAAATAAAAAATAAAAAATGCATTGATCCATGTTACTTTAGTTTTGTGTATTTCACTATATAAATTGTATTTTACTACAGACACATATTTTTAATCTTTATTTTTTAGAGATATATACCAAAATATTTACAGATGAAATACAATTTCTGATATTTGTTTCAAATAATCCAATGGTAGGATGAAGAGGTGAGGAGTAGTGGGGAGGGTGCTTATGGATAAAACAATAGTTGTTGTTGTCATGTGCCACTGAGTCAGACCCAACTCACAGTGACCCCTCCTTGGGTTTCCGAGGCGGTATCACTAAGGAAATAGATTGCCCAACCTTCCTTCCGAGGAGTGGTTGGTGGGTTTGACCCACCAGCCTTCTGATTAGCAGTCAAGTGCCTTAGACTACCAGAGCACTATGCTACCAGGACTCCTAAAACAACAGTAGCCATGAGCTATTAATAGTTGATACTTCATAATGGATATCTGAGTCAAGGGGATCCTTACACAACTATTACTACTGCAGTACAGTAGTTAAGTTGTATGTCAAATTGGCTTGGCCTGGTTTTGACTAGCTGGGCAGCTGGATGTAGTTATCCCCATGATGAAATTGGTAATCAAGTCCATGAAGGAATCTATTGGAGCAGCTGAGTAACTGCCTTAGGGATGTGGTCTGCTTCCAGTATATAAGAAACAGCTTTGAGAAAGGTCTCTGGAGCTTTCAGCACACTTGACTCTGCATTTGGCCAAGTCTTATATCTCAATGGCTTGCTATGTTGTCTGCCAATCTTGGGACTGTTAACGGACTTGAATTAGTGGCCTGCCATGTTGCTTGATAATTTGGGGACTGTGCCATTTTATTTGTCAACCCTGGCTTTGTCAGCCTCAGCAGCCAGAAGCTGGCTGAGTTACGAGAAGCCTCCAGCTTCTGTGGGCCAGGACAAGAGGCAGAGCTGAAGCAAAAAGTGGAGGAGCTTTCACCCAGGCCCTAAAGCTTGGCACTTTGAACTCAGATTTCTAGCCTCCAAAACTGTAAAAGAATGAATTCCTGTTTGTTCGAAGTCACCCATTTGTGATATGTCTGTCACAGTAGCACTAGGTAACCAAACAACTACTTTTCCATTTTTGTAGTATGCTTGAATTTTTCACTAATTAAAATAAAAAAATTAAGTACCCTTTTTCCTTCTAAAAAATGTTTAAAAAGTTCTCAAATTTCATCAATGCAAGATATTTTTTAAAGCTACATAGGGAAGAAAGACTGGGGAATATGGGAATTAACTGTTAACTTCATGTTCCCTGCCATTTCAAAGAATTAGAAATTCTATACATGGCATATATGGTAGCATCTCAATGCTTTCCAGCACTGAAAATACACTATATTACATACTACAAAATAAAAAAACACAGTTAATAGGTATCAAGAAGTTTCTTGACAAATGAGTATATTTAAAAATAACCAGCACTTAAATTATTAGAAAGCAAAATCAAAGAGCTCCATAATTCTTTTAAGATTAGGGGGATAGGTAGCCAGAGAGTCAAGATTCTGTTTTCAGTATATGACCTAACACATGATGTGGCCTACACAAAAAAGGTCCTCTAGAATTGTTTAAAATACACCATATATCAAATGCAGCATATTAGAAAACTTCCTTCCCCATGTATGTATTTCAATTTCTGTGTTACTCCACATATCTAAATATATGGAAATAAAAATATACACCTAAATAATGCAGGCATTAGTAAATAACTAAAATAATAGTATTTGCCTAAAGTATCCTGCAAATTTAAGTGAGGAATCTCTAGAGGTAAAATTAGAGATTCTGTTACTATCTGAAATGCCTTCTCCATTTCTGCCTGACAAACTTGTTCATCTTTCTACTTTCAAGTGCCCCTTCATTTATGAAACTTCATGGGGCTTGCCTGAAGGGCTAACACATTCTGTCCCTCTGTATTTTCTTCTGTGAAGCCTGAACTCCTTTTTATTATAAATGTATATTGGTGTGTTTGTCTCCATATTAAAAGGAAGAATTTTGGGAAGGTAGGAACTCTGCACTTTCATCTTTGGTCCCCAAGACCCAACACTGCCTAACTGGTAGTAGGGACTCAATAAACACAATCTGTAGGCAGTCACTTCCTTCAGGAGACTTTAAGGCTTTCTTCCAGAGAACTAACTCAACACACGTCAAACTCAATAGTTACCAATACTTTCTCCTGGAAAGAGAGGAGAAACACACACAAGCTACACTTGGGGGGGGGGGGGGAACAACTCACTGCCATCAAGTCAAACTAGACTCATAGCAACCCCTCCTTGAGTTTCTGAGGCGGTATCACTACGGAAGTAGATTGCCCAACCTCTCTTCCCAGGAGTGGCTGGTGGGTTTGAACAGCCAGCCTTCTGGTTAGCAGTCAAATGCCTTAGGCACTGTGCCACCAGAGCTTCTGAGGCAATGCTTAGCTCACAGGAAAACCCTTCTAAAGTATAATTAACTTAAAAGTACACACAAGTTTCCTGATAAATTTGTCTTCAGTTATATTTATTCAATCTTTAAACAACCACTTACTGACTGCTGAGCACTAGGGGTATAACAATTCTTAGGATGTGGGGTAAAGATGTGCATTTTTTTAAAAAAATGAATTAAGGAAAAGAGTTATCAGCTGGTAACCCAGTAAATCTTTATTGTGGTATAGGTAATGCTATGGTCTCCCTTTGCTCCTGGGGGAGAAATAAATTTTTATGTGAACAAAAAATTTAAGTAAGATTCAAGAAGATGTTTAATCTACTTAAGGTACTTCTTAAACAGTTCTAAGCCTCCACTTTTATATTAATAGCATTTTTTTTACAGTACAAATCACTTTTGTACTTAGTAGAGAGGACCTCTGGTGATGTAGTACCTAAGGCATCTGATTGCTAACCAGAAGGAACCCACCAGCCACTCCTCAGAAGAAAGATGGGGCAATCCACTTCATAGAGATATGGCCTTGGAAACCCAAGGAGGGGCTGCTATGCAGGGAGTTTGGTTTGGTATTTTTTTGGGGAGGGCCTAGGAAGAACCCTCTCCTTTAAAAAAAGAAAAAAAAGTCTCTATTACTGTAAAGAAGTATAATTTCATTTTTAAATTAAGCTGGTAACTTCTCCACTTGAGACTCCTGACTTACTCCCAAGCCAGTTTTGAGAAAATAATGATGAGTTACTTATAGACAAAGGCAAGTAGAGGCCACCTTCCCTGAGACCTAAGCTTAAGATATCACTGGAAATCTGACTCTTACTCTGAGCAGCTTTCTTTTCTAAGAAGCTTAGGTTATAATTTTGGACTGATACTGAACATAGGCATACATACCAAACCTTTACTGGCTATGTGAATTAAGTATAGAAATGTTCTAATTTCTTCCTCAGCTACCTAAGAAGTCAAGCCAATACTCATTGTTTTAAAAACCTCAATCCCAGTTCAGTCAGTTGTCCACTCCAACACCAAAAAGTGTCCTTACTGAATAATCAAACACTTCTAAATTGTACTAAATTAAAATCTTACCAAATACTTTAAATAGGAAAAAAAAATGTACCTGCCAAAGGTGAAACTATATAAAACAAGATTCACATTTTTATAAATTCAATCAATTAAGAAATAATGAGGTAAGTAATTATTTCCTTTCAGTTTTTTAATATACAGAAAACACTCTCCAAAAAGATGTAATCGTTACAATAGAATCTACTTACCCATTCAATGTTGTTACTTTTGCATTTAGGTAACAATTTTTTTCCCTAAACATATGCACCTAAAAAACCACCTACACCTCCCACCAATAGAACAGATAT